AGTTTTAAGGAAACATAATATGATATTCTGAATCAGCGTAAAATTCCGCATCTGTTGATGTATAATTCAACGAAGTTTGAGAAGAAAAAGTTTTTCGATGCTGTTATAGTGCTCTTACTTGTGATCAACAGCTGATGAAACCTGAACGCGATTTTTCAACAGAGAAAAATATGTCACTTGATTCAGAATTTGACGCTGATTCCAAATATGTAATTATTTTTTGAAAATACCATGGCTAAACAAAGAATATCATTGCTACATTATTTTTTCGTTTCACTGCTATGTGAGTGTACAACAGAGATTTCCAATTTCCTCAGCGATAACTCGTACTATATTGCTGAAATTTTCAGGGCAGATCAAGTAATCATAGATGCAACTATGATACAAAAATGAGCGCAAACAAAAGTAGTGGCGAGAAAAAATCGGAAAAATAAGGTGTTCCGTTTATTTTGGCCAGGGGGATATATATATATATGTTTTTTGTCGTTCTGTAACCAATCATATGAAAGCTCCTGAAGAAGAAGAAAAAAAACTGGAAAACATTCGTAAAATATAATATAGATTAAATGAATATATCTGACTATTATATTACATCATTGGATCTAAAAATTTCAGAATAATATGTAACACATTCTTCTATTGAGAACAAACTTTGAGTAATCGATGTTTTACCATCTTTGACAATATTGAGATGTGTGTCAATATATTTTTGTATAAGTTCATGCCTAAATACACTAACATCGATTGTTTTTGATAGAGGAAAATTAATATTGCATTGACATGCTAAATTTCGAGCAGTAGCATGACCTTCTTCAATCCAACTGGGCAAAGCAAAAGGAATTGATTCACTCCAACTTGCATCCAAAGTAAAACTTTGTGATAAAGCACCTGCTGATAAAATCACAAATTCGTTTGGATATTGAATAATTCGATGATATCGAATATGATATTTGTCAAATACAACAGGATTAATCATCAGTTCTCCATGTTCAAGACAATATGTGGAGTTTTGTCGTTGAAGTATTTTCTGAAGAGTCTCTCGCTCACAGGCAGGAATAATATACCAATGACGAGGACCACCTTGATGATGATATACTAGCAAGAAGAGACGTTGTTGAACACTAGATAATGGAAAAATAGCACCTGGCCCATGTGCTCTGGTTAAAGAAGAAACAAATTGATTGGTGATTTTGGTTCCACTTAATCTGAGTAATGATTTTCTCGGTATACGATGTATCGAGAAATATTTTCCATGCTGTTTTTCATAGAAGAAACTTTTATTTGGTAATAAGGAAACACCTGATGTAGAAAATTTCTGACCCAAATTAGAAAGAGAACACCAAAATGTTTCTTCGTTTTTTATCGGCGATCGTTGTCCAGTGTATACATTTGCATCATCCCTTTTCTGAACGAAGTAAATAGGTTCATCATCACTTACTTTCGTGATCTGCTGGATACTAGCACACGTTAGTGAAATCTGACGTTTCTTCAAGGCTAATGCACAATCAGAACTTAGTTGAATTTTAATTGCACCAAATTCTTTAAGGGTTCGCTCATGTACAAAAATAAAATTCATCAGATTCTGAAGACCAAACGAATTTATTTGTAGTGTGGAGGCATCAATTGAAATTGATGACATTTTTTGTATGCAAAACTACACATAAATAGCAATGGTTAGAAATGAAATACTTTTATTATGGTAAAACGACAGAAGTTCTCAACTACGCGAACTTAGTGTTGAAGACATAGAAACATCAGCTGATTGGGAATATTGAATGAACATGAGAATCATTTCAGCGAAAATATTTTTAATATTATTAATTCATTTCTACAATTTCGATTGAATAATTCCTAGTTTGTAGAGGTTATCACATCTGGTGAAAACATTTTTCTGATTACGTATAAAATCAAGAAAGGCATGTAGACACTCTAATTCTGTTACTAGACATTTTCCGTTATTTTTTATGATCGTTCTCTAAAAAAAACTCTAGGACCTTTTTCAAATTATTAATTTTCACACCCTCGAAGACTTTTATATTAGTACATAATGTAGAAATATTTCATCAGATTTTTATGTCTTCCTGTCGACTGATATGTAAATTCCATATGCAAAGTATAGAAAATGTATCATTAACATTTCATTATTAACTTGAATCATACATGTACTTAGGGCGTACCAAAAGTAGTGGCGCCCTCATCTAAATTTCTTATAGAAGGCTTGAGTAAGTTTTCTTTTTGTGTACTCAAAAAGTGAGTACACTCTAGAATCGGTCAGTGTGTCCGTCCGGCCGTTAACACGATAACTTTTGAAAGGAGAGTCCGATCGCGATGAAATTTTCTACACAGTTCAGTCTTTACAATATCTCGGTCAAGTTCGAAGATGAGAAGGATCGACCGAGCCGTTCCTGAGTTACTGCAAAAATACCCATTTTCCCCTATAGCTTCCTATGGAAAAATCGACCTATTCTCACTTTCGTCAAACACTTTCCGTATCAAAGTCAACTTAATCTCCAACTATAATATACCATTCGATAGAGAATTTCACGAGCTACAAAATGGCATATAAAGCATTAAAAATTTTAGCTCAAACTTTTGGACCAAGGAAAGGGTTTTTTGAGAAAATAGCGATATTTTATAAAGGTTGGCGAAAGCAAATCGGGGTCGAGT